AGGAAAATCTAATACTAACTCTAAACTAATATAATAATATTAACACTAAAAATCTAACAAAACTAATCAAAATATAATTTCTAAGCTTTTTTCCTATTTTATATTTTTTAAATTTATTATTATTAAATTTTTATCTAAAAATGGGGACTCAAATCTGGTTAGGGAACTTGTTTTGGGGGGAAAAATTGTCCAAAAAGTTCTAAAACTATTGCATTTTTGCCAATTCAGTTCTAAACCTTTCAATTTTGCCAATTGAATCCTAAACATTTTCTTCTTGTTAATTGAGTCCATGCGACCAATTTTGGCCAAAAAGTACTGACGTGGATGCCGACTGGTCTACATGGCGCTAACGTAGATAATTTTTAATAATATTTTTGTATTTTTCCTTTTTTCTTTCTTTTTTTCCTCCCTTTCTTTCTCCTTTAGCCGGCCACGGAGCGTCGGCAACCGGCCAAAAGGGAAGGCCGGCGAGGTCGACCTCGCTGACCTTGGGCGAGCCTCGCCCCTCCAACCACTGGCAAGGATGAGCCTTGCTGCCCCTAGCGAGGCTCGCCCTCCCCAGCTACGGCGAGGCTTAACCTCACCGAATCTGGTGAGGCTGACCTCGCCCAGCCATGGCGAGGCCGCCTTCACCCAGCAACGGCGAGGCTTGGCCTCGCCAGTGGTTGGCAGGGGCGAGGCTCGCCCAAGGCCAGCGAGGTCGACCTCACCGGCCCTCCCTTCAGGCCAGTTGCCGACACCCGATGACCAGATGGATGAGGAAGAGTGGGAGGAAAAAATGAAAAAGGAAAAAGTATAGAAAAGACAATTTTTTTTGAAAAATATTAAAATATTATTAAAAATTATCCACGTCAGCGACACGTAGGTTGGCCGGTGTCCACGTCAGCATTTTCCGGCCAAAATTAGCCGAATGGACTCAATTGGTAAGAAATGAAGAGGTTAATGACTCAATTGGTAAAATTGAAAGGTTTAAGAATAAATTGACAAAAGTGCAATAGGTTTATGACTTTTTGGACAATTTTTCCTTGGTCTGAGTATGGGTCCAGGTCGGGTTTAAAATTCGGAACGGCCCTCGGGCCCAATTTGAATATGGCCTTGCTTCGATGGGCTCAGGCCCAGTGATTCAATATTAAGTTTTCCTAATTAATCTAAGCCTAACCCGAACTCAAGCCCTACACTCTAGGAGTGAGCATAGTTTTAGGGTAGAACCTGGAACCTAAGAACCTGACCGGTGGAAACCTGTAGGTTCCAGGTTTCGAGATATGCAGGATAGATTTCAGATTCTAGGTAGGCAGAACCTGGAACCTGAAACTTGAAACCTAAACAAGTTTTTTTTATTTTTTCTTGGTTTATGTCTTCACGTGATCCTGCGTTGTTTCATAATGTTAGATGATTGGTGTATAATCTGAAACCACTAGTTTGAGCTTTCATTTTATGACTTATTAATGTTTCATATTATTCGTGTGTCTAAATATAAGTTGTGGTCATTGGATCATTAAAGGTAATGATTCACTGCAATTGTTCAACTAATAATACATGTTGAACCTGGATAGATCTTGGAATCGACCCTGGAACCTATGATAAGGTAGGTTCTAGGTTCCAAAAAATGAGGAACCTATTCTCATGAGCAGGTTCCAAGTGAAACCTGTACGGAACATGGAATCGCTCACTCATAGTATCGATTCACGCAATGACTTCTTAGTTTAATTGTATTTATTTGAACCGTAATGCTAGGAAAATTAGTCTTTTGTATTCTCTTTGGTGAATGACGAGCTTGTTTAGTATTGTTGAGTTCATTTTCATTTTGTTTAACTACAAATGAAATAAAAAAAAAAAAGGGAACATATTAGACCCTGGAATCTACCCTGAAACTTGTGATAGGGTAGGATCCAGGTTCCAGGTTCCAACGGGTAGGTTCCAGGTTCCAAAAAATGAAGAACCTATACTCGATGGTAGGTTCCAGGTTTTAAGTGAAACCTGTAAGGAATCTGGAACGGCTCACCCCTACTACACTCCTGGCCCGGCCTCATCGATATTCAACCCACGCTTTTTTATTATCTTTTATTTATTTATTTCTTTTATACCATATTTCTATTTTTCTTTTATTTCTTTTCTTTTATTATTATTTTCTATTTCTCTATCTTCCTCACCGAGATTTCTCCAACACCGAGCATTCATCATCTTTAGCCAAGCTCTCGTCAGAAAACCCTTCCGACTCTCGGCCACCGCCGTTGACACTCAATTCTGGCAAACGTCGGACCACCATCTCCAACTATTGCAGTCGCTATTACCAGCCTCCAGCAACTCAACACCATCCATTATTAAACTTCCTCATTGACCAACGTAATGAAAACATTCAGGACATGAGCAAATGGATTGTAGAGGAGAGAGTTATCCCAAAACTTATTTCCAGCCATTGTCAAACGCTATTTTTTACTCCATTTAGGCTCTCATCGACAATTATCACTATAGGGATCACCATTCCTGCGAACACAGTAGCAACTGAGGAACGCAAATAAAACGAGATGTCAGATTCGGTCATACTAGCAAATAAATCATGCTGAGTATCGAATGCAAAGTTCCTTTTGCGAAAATACACTCTTACTATGGACTTAATTGTACTGGCATTTTATCGAACAATATATGTGCAACGATAATAACGAACTTTTGGCTGAGATCCGAATCATAATTTCGTCTAACTTTGATGTTAAAATCACAAGCCTTCGCAAATCATTTAGCTCAGCCTCGATTCAAACGAATCACTCGCAAATTGCAAAACTGATTCAGTTAGAGGTCCCTTTGTGCGGTTAGCGGAGATATTAGGGGCTTCCCTGTTTCTGGGCTTTTTATATGTCTATTGGGCTCTTTACCTTGAATCCGAATGGGCTGAGATTGAAGCCCAAATTTTGTGGGTTGAACAAAATAATGGGTAAATTGGGTTTCATGAATTGAGCCCATGCCAATGAGTTTATGGTCGAATTGGACTATCATGCTTCTTGTTTTTTTCGTGGGCCTTATTATTGTATTTTTTTCTATATTTTATATTTTTTTTTACAAGAATTACAATTTTTTTGTCGTTCCTATCACTAACTCTCTTCACTTTCAAACTTTTACTCTACCTTTTATAGAGCACGAGAATTGAACTCCTCACCCGTGATACTAGCATCCCCACCCTCGCAATCTCTTTACCAGTAGGGCCAAGAATTAAAACACGAGTGTCAACATGATCTTGTCTAATACCGCTTTTGAAGTGATTGCCAATTCGTTCGGGACTTCAATTGTCGTCGAGTATCAAAAGTAAGCAACTTTGGTTGGGTGTGGTGAGGTGCACGATAAAGGGGATCCCGGACTTCGATAATCAACTTTTGTGAGTGGAATGTGTAGGGTTCAACAGGAGTGTCAACGGTTTGATTCGGGTTCGGATTTTTTTTTCGAAAATCCAAATTGAATCGAACCGAACCGTTAGGGTGTATGCTTGAACCGAATATGAATTGAATGAAAAACCCCGGTTCGGTTCGGATGAGAAAACCGGATATTAGGGTTTCTCATGACAATTTTGAGAGGAGTGAGAAAGAGCATTCAGTTTTCGTTGAGAATTTCAATTCGGTTTGATTAATCAAACCGAACCGAAATAACTCGAATCGGAAGAAAAGAATGGTTATCTTTTCATTAGCCGAACCAAAATCCAAACCGAAACGAAAATGCATGAAATTTCGGTTCAGTTCCGGTTCCGATTAGGTTTTTGACACCCCTAAGGTCCGATCTTCGGTGACGGCTCAAGGCTCGAGATAGAGAGACGAAAGGATTTTCTTGAGGTTCACCTCTTTTTACAAGAAATTTATGAAGTTTTATTTTTTATACCACGAAAAACTCTAAATCAGTACACATATGACAAATTTATCCCAAACTATTTTTTTAACTACAAAAAACCCCAAATTGATATACATGTGATAAATTTACCAAAAACTAATTTTTTGATCATAAAAAACCCCAAACTAGTATATTTGAGATAAATTTACCCTTCGTTAGTTTCCGTTAAATTGGATAAATATCACGACAAATCATAAATTGGTACACCTATGACAAACAAAAGGTAAAATCCTAAACTAGTACACCCGTTAATTGTTACGTGTCATCTAATTCAGTAATTTGACGGTAAAATTTAATGGAAATTAACGGAGGGCAAATTTGTCACAAGTATACCATTTTGGGGTTTTTGATGATCAAAAAATTAATTTGTGATAAATTTATTACAAATATACCAATTTAGGATTTTTCATGATATTAACCTAATTTATTGTTAGCAAAGTTTATTATTTTTTTATGGTCCCACAAAGGTTGATAATGACCAACACTATATATATTTAATTAATATCTTTATATGGCGGGTCTTGCGAGGCAACAATACTTTAGTTGCTCTTAGGTGGCCAGTGTTTTTAATGATTTTGTTGACTTGACAAGGAATCTTTTTTAACATATGCTCCTACTTGAATTTAATTCTAATTGAATATCTCTAAAGTCGGTTGGTGGACCAATAAGATATGATTTTCTCTTCATCCAATACATTTATAAGGACTTGAAAGAGATGTTAATGTCTTCACGGAAGTTCTCAGTTTATCTTTTAGCAACAATGGCATTTTACACAAGGTTTGTGCCTTCACTCTTGAATGCACTCTTTTGTCATTCAAGCCATGGAATTCAGTCAGGGAAGCTCTCATGAAGTTGAAGCAGGATCTCAATGATCCTTCAAGACGTTTGCGGTCATGGATTGGTGAGGATTGTTGTGAGAGGGAAGGAGTCGATTGAAGCGAGAAGACAAGTCATATCTTGAAGCTTGATCTTTAAAGAAAATTATTTTTCTTGAATTTAAACATGGATTTTCTGTTGATTAGGAAAATATTTTCAGTTAACTCATTTTCTCAAGCGATCTAAACATTAGAAAATGAGAAAATTATTTTTTTTAAAAATATTTTTCGCAAAATAAACGGATTCTTAAAATCGATAGATGATTCCTTGGTAATTAACTAAGCATCAAATGAAGATGAATTTTCTCCATGCCAAAAGGATGCACGGAATTTACCAACAGCACAATAATTAGTGGTGTCTAGGAGCAATCATCTTTGCGATTGATCTGCCATTTGCTGCAGCATCGAGCGCTCAAATCAGTACGATCCATTACATCATATCGCATGTGCCTCCTCTGAACAACCCGGATGAAGAATCTGATTGCGGGATGTGGAGTGGTTCAGGTAATTGCTGCATGTTGAGTAAAGTACTTGCTATATAGATTTTTTTCTTGCCATTAATTTAGCGACGGAATGCCATGGTGAGGGCCCATCCCAGTTCCCTCGGAGCAACCTGTTCGCAGCGGCGGGCGACTAACTACGGGACCAGGGGGGGCAGCGTGCGGCGGGGAGTACGTGGTGCGGTGCATCAGCGCGGCGCAGACTTGGCCCTGACCCTGTAACCTGCAAACCCAGAACTTTCTCCAGATCAAGATCGTCCACTACGCCCTCTCGTCGACGTCCGGCACCGCCGCGTACGAGCAATCCGTCGCCGGCGCTGCATTGGTCCCGTCGGAGACCGCTTTTCAAGCCGTTGCCAATTCGTTCGGGGGGCTTCGATCGTGGTCGAGTTTCAAGAGTAAGCAACGTCATTTCTTCGGCTTCTTTCTGTTCACTTGAATCTTGCGGACGGAACACTCGATGCCGGCGGCGGTGGCGTAAGAGAGGTTGCTGGGGTTTCGAGGGCGGTTGGGTGTGGTGAGGTGCAGGATAAGTGGGATCCCCATCTTTCTGTGAGTGGAACGTGCGGGGTCCGATCTTCGGTGATGGCTCAAGGCTCGAGATAGAGAGAAGAAAGGACTATCCAATATTTTCTCGAGATTTGCCTCTTTCTAAAAGAAATTGGTGAAGCTTTATTATTTATTTATCGTTAGCAAAAGTTTTATTATTTATTTGTGACCCCACAAAGGTTGATAATGACGAACACTGTATATGTTTTATCGATATCTTTATTTGGCGGGTCTTGCAAGGCAAGAATACTTTGGTTGCTCTTAGGTGGCCGGCTTTGTTGACTTGAGAAGGGATCTTTTTTCAGCATATGCTCCTAACTTGAATCTAATTCCAATTGAATATCTCCAAAAGTCGGTTAGTGGACCAATAAAATGTGTTTTCCTCTTCACCCGATACATTTGTCCTAGAATAAAGACTTTCAAAAGATGTTAATGTCTTCACGGAAGTTCTCAGCTCATTTTCAGCAAAAATGGCGGTTCACACTAGATTCGTGCCTTCGCTCTTGAACGTGCTCTTTGTCATTCAAGCCCTGGAATTCTGTCATTCCAAAGCCTTTACGAATGTGAGTTGCATTGGTGCTGAGAGGGAAGCTCTTATGAAGTTCAAGCAGGATCTCACTGATCTTTCAGGACGTCTGCGGTCATGGATTGGCGAGGGTTGTTGCAAGTGGGAAGGAGTGGAATGCAGCGAGGAGACAGGCCACGTCTTGAAGCTTGATCTTCGTAATCCCTGTGATGGTTTAGAGTGTAGCTTAGGAGGTAAGATACATCCCGCTCTAAACGAACTGAAGGATTTGAAGTATCTAGACCTTAGCTTCAATAATTTTTCAACCCAAAGAATCCCAGACTTTTTAGTTTCTCTTCAGAAACTAGAATATCTCAACCTCTCATCTGTGGGCTTCTACGGACATGTTTCCAATCAACTTAGTAATCTTTCCAACTTACAGTACTTGGATCTCAGTAATTCATGGTGGTGGCCCTCTATTATAATAGAAAACCTCCTGTGGCTTTCGAAATTTTCTAAGTTGAAGTATTTGGACCTGTCTTATGTTCCCCTTCCCGACTCCAAAGAATGGTTAACTCCTATCAACATTTCCTCCCTAGAGTTTTTAATATTGAGGGGATGTAATTTGCAGGATGTTTCAACCTCTTTGCATGTCAATTTCACTTCTCTTAGATTCCTTGATCTGAGTCACAACTCCATGGATTCATTTGTTCCTCCTTGGTTTCAAAACTTGAGCAAACTTGAACATCTTGATTTAAGTTATAATAATCTCCATGGCATATTCCCCACTGTTATCCTTGAAAATAGTCGGTGGCTTAGATTCCTTGATGTCTCTAAGAATAGGCTGGAGGGTGAACTTTTGAAAGACATGAGCGATTTCTGCAACCTGCAAGTACTAAACTTGCGTTCTAACAAATTTAGTGGGAGGATTTCAGACACCAAAGATGGTGCTTTGATTTGTGGACGAAGTCACATGAAGACTATTGATGTTTCCGGCAACAATTTCAGTGGTCACCTACCCAATCAATTTGAAGATTTCAAAGATCTCGAATTCCTTGATCTCTCATGGAACTCAATTTCAGGTCCTATACCTGCTACTGTGGGCCAGCTATCATCTTTGAAAAAATTGTACCTCTCTTCTAACAAATTGAGTGGGAACATTCCAGAAAGTGTTGGGCGACTATCCAATCTAGAGGTGATGGACATTCGTAATAATAATTTGGATGGAGTTGTTAGTGAACTTCACTTTGCCAATCTCAGTAGCTTGACCGTGTTGTACTTTTATTTGAATGAACTAGTTATAAATATTAGCGCATCTTGGGTTCCTCCTTTCCAAATTCAAGTGATTTTCATGTCCAATTGCAAAGTGGGACCAAGATTCCCAAGCTGGCTTCGAACGCAAAGGAACATTTCCGTATTATATATGTCAAATGCTAGCATCTCAGATGAAGTTCCCTATTGGCTACCTGAAGTTTTATCCAACACAAAACGATTGGATCTTTCGGGCAACTTGCTCAGAGGCAACATATCCCGAATTATTGGAAAAAAGATGCCACTGTTAAGGTTAGTGTCACTTTCTGGAAATAACCTCAGTGGTGGCATTCCAAACTCATTATGCATGTCAGATGAATTGTCTTTTCTTGATCTCTCCAAGAACCAACTGTCAGGGAGACTTCCGCAATGTTGGAGGAAGTCGCAAGCGAATTTGGAGTGGATTTCATTGGGAGAAAACAAGTTAAATGGTCAGATTCCATACTCCCTATGCCATTTGGAGCGATTAGGAGTTCTAGGCCTACATGAAAATGGCTTGAATGGAGTGCTTCCAAAATGTTTACTAAAGCTACATTTGGTAAACCTCGATCTCAGTGACAATCAATTCACTGGTAGAATACCTCCGTTTGGACAACATTCTAGATCATTTAGGACAATCGATCTAGCGAGAAATTACTTCACTGGGAACATTCCTTTGCAGCTATGCCATCTTGTTAATCTCCAGTATTTAAACCTAGCAAATAACAACCTATCCGGAGGCATTCCTCATTGTTTCAACAACTTCACGCGGATGTGGGCCAACTCTACTTTTACTCCGTATGGGAGGTTCCCGTTGGGGTTTTCTATTATGGTTAATATAAAAGGAAAGAGCCTAGAATTCACCACCACGCTCCGCTATTTATTTTCCATTGACCTTTCAAGCAATGCATTGGATGGACAAATACCGAAAGGGCTGACTAGGCTGGCACGACTACAGAATTTGAACCTCTCTCAAAATAAGCTGATTGGAGAAATCCCTTTAGATATTGGCAACTTGAGAGATTTAGAATCACTGGATCTATCCCATAACAAGCTATCGGGTAAAATCCCTCCTATCATATCCAATTTAGACTCTCTAAGTCATTTGGATCTTTCCTTCAACAATTTATTTGGTCCTATTCCATCGAGCAATCATCTAAGCACTCTGAACAATCAATTTGTTTATCGTGGCAATGATAGACTTTGCGGAGCTCCTCTTTTGAAAGTTTGTCCTGAATATGAGCATAATGATATGGACATACGAGATAGTCACAATAGGAGTGAAGATGAGTCTAAAAAAGGTGTCTTTGTTGTTATTTGGTTTTACTCAAGATTGGGAGTGGGTTTCCTGGTGGTATTCTTGGGATTTTGTGGCATATTACATATCATCTCCTATTTTCGGCGGTGGATTCGATTGTCGAAAGATTGTCGATTGCGAGAGTAATTACCATGCTTTGGTTCAAGGGAGGTTTTCAATTCGCACTACGCATATAAGAAGTTATTTAGTAAGTAAAATCACACACATTCTCTCTCTCTCGTGATTCATATTTCCTTTTCCTCATACTCATTTATTCTGTTGATAGATGATGCTAATTGTTTCTATTAGTTGTCCTCACATTTGAGAGTTGCATGCACCGTGACAATTGCTGTGAAACTGATAGTTCGTTTCTTCATGATGGAAGATTGCTACTAAAGCTTCAAGTAACAAGGAAATGCGCACTATTCTCCGACATTTCTTTCTTTCTTTCCATTTGGTTATAAAAACAGGAAAAAAAAAACAATCTCTTGCTCTCTTGCTATTGTCCTATAAAATAAGGCAGGTATGTTTAATTTAAGCGAGCCAAATATGTGAGCCAAAATTGGACGAGTCTACTGTTCTGTAGGGTAAAAATTGGAGCACTATTTTGTGCTCATAACATGTGAAAAGTGTCGATAACTATCAAAACTTGTCAGCAATAAAATTTTGACTGTTCAGTCGATGACACGTTGGTAAGTTACCAGCACTTTACGATAATTCCAATGGTTGACAACTCATGAAGTATTATGTATGCTCAGTTCCTTCGTCTCTTTCTCGATCATCTAAACAAACTTGTATGGAGTGCATTGTCTCAAGGAGCCAAACATTGTTTCTCAGCATCGCTTTTACTGTTTACTTAAAAAAATGCTCTCCAGCAACCTAAGAATTCGTCAGTGCTAAAATGGTGCTCAGGCACAATTAACACAGGTTTCTTGCTTCATCTGGGATAATAAATTGACGCTTCCCAATCTAATGGAGCTGAATATCTACGTTTGACAGTGCAAATTGCCTACCACTATAATGTCGGTTGCTTTATGTCAACCGCAATTATTATTTTCAACTTAGGGGCGAGTCGATAAAGTGCGAATTGCCTACCATTTTTTCCTTCCTCTCTGTTTTCTTCTTCTTTATCATTAAGGAATTACAGATTTTTAACTTCTTGAATTGCAACAAATGAAAAGGGTCTCTTGACTGTTTGCGGCGATATTTTGTTTAGGAGTCTAAAGAAAATAATTTTCAGGTCATCCATGTATATGCGAGAATGGAGTTGTCCCCGACAGAGCACTAGATCCAGCAGTTCCATCTCGGCTCGAACACCTCTCTGCAATGAATAACTTAAAGAAGATGGCTCTGCAGGTAAATATTTGACACCTTTATATTAATCTCTCTCGCTTTGATTGACATAGGGCGCACTTTATTTGGGGGCTGGTTCTTTATCATCAGTGCTAAATTGTGTTGTGTTCTTCACGTTTATTGTACAAAACTTGTGCCGTATGGCGAATTTCACATCGCTATTCTCAATGGAATGACATAAATTATAGCTGCAAAGTTCAAGACCACTTTTCATCCAAAAGTTTGCAGAATCTCAATTCTCTTATAATCGCTAGTCTCTTATGCTTTGCTACTCCAGGATGTGCACTTGTCCTGCTGAATATTTTAAGATTTCTGCATCTCATTTAACTGTACGAGACTTAGATGTCATTTGATCTGCACCAAGTCCTCTTTGGATTATGAAAATGGGGTTTAATTGTAACAAACTTTTATGCTCGTGCTGGTCTCACCAGGTAATTGCTGAAAGTCTCGCCAAGGAGGAGATTGCTGGTTTGAAAGAAATGTTTAAAGCGATGGATATTGATAACAGTGGCGCAATCACCTTTGATGAACTTAAAGATGGTTTGCGAAGATATGGCTCCACGATGAAGGACACGGAGATATGTGATCTCATGGATGCTGCAAGTACATTGCTTGTAGGTTCTTTTGTTTTCACTTGAGACCGAGTCTTTAAATTGCATCCTCGGTCGACTTTTCCCAAGCTGTTCTTAAAGTTGAACATCAACCAAACCGACCAGATAACGAATCCATCTGATGCATATATTCGGTCATCTTAGAGTGATGTCTGATTTCATTCTGCAGGCTGATGTGGACACCAGCGGAACAATAGACTCTGGCGAATTTATAGCCGCAACAATTCACCTCAACAAATTCGAATGTGAAGAGCATCTAATTGCAGCCTTTTAGTACTTCGACAAGGATGGAAGTGGTTATATTACGGTTGACGAGCTCCAGCAAGCTTGCGCCGAGTATATTATGACTGACGCTTCATTGAAGATATCATCAAGGAAGTTGATCAAGATGATGTGAGTCCATCAAAATATTGTTTTGAAAACCCCTAAGGATTTTAATAATGACAAAACTATCTCATACGATTTGATGCAAGTGTTGTTTTTGTCCAGGTATCTATTGTTGATTCAACACTATTGAATCTATCCCTAACGCAATGTGAAAGAACTTAAAGGACTAGAAGGACCATAAGGGCGAATAAGTCAAAGAGAACAAGAAGTTCGTGAGTGCTTGAAGGACCAATAGATGAACAAATCTGTAAAAGTCTAACTTGTTGAGAAAACCTCCTAATATATTTTGAAGTTACTAAAATAATTCATGGTTCCTTACGAGCTTGATAAATGCAAGTGTTGTTTATGCCCCAGGAAATCTCCGCACAAAAGGAACTTAGATGTGCAAAGTGAAAAGATTCTAAATGGCTGGAACGAACTTCGTGAATAAGTCTAGAAGAATGGGGAGTCCATAAAGACTAGGAGGTACTAAGGTGAATAGTCTAGAGAATCTTCATCACCATCATACTCAAAGTGAGTGTTGAAGAAACATCCTTAGAAATTTTAATGATTCCCAAACTATCATTGGAATAATATCTACTATGATAAGTGCAGATGTTCTTGATGATTAAGAACTATGTGATGTCCATGATATATTCATTGGATGAAGATTGCAAGATGTCCTTGTACGGACTGCCCATAAACAACATCAACTGATTGTGATTGTCAGCTAGTGATGATTTCTATGTCACTCACGAGGATATCACGTCCCTAATGATGCTGGAATAACGACCATCAGAGAATGTTCGTTGAAGGATTGAATATAGCTATTGGCAGTTGGAACAGCACAGCAGGAGAATCAGAAATTGTTAAAGAAAGTGAAATTGCTTTTTGTCAGAACTGTCAGAGTGACCAACGATGTTTTAGCAGCGAAAGAACCCAATTTGGGAAAGCTCACTGATGTTCACAGGAAAGGACTATTCGAGTAGTCTAGCTTTAGAACAACAACATTATATATTGCAATGTGCTATCTTTACTTCCGCCCGTGGTTACTAGTGCAATACAGCTCAACTTGTGGTTGTTAGTTTGGAGAGTAGATGTTGGCTTACTAAATAAGCCAAACCACTATATATTACTATTTGTTATCTTTACTTCCTCTTTTATATGATATTTACACATTAGCACCACTTGATATTCTTAATATTAGCATCTCTGTCCAAGTATTGTTTCATGATTTTTGCAAAATCTTTAATACAACCCATTCACCCACCCCCCCCCCCCTTCTTGGTTGCATAGTTAGCCTCGACAATTTGTATCAGAGCTCTGCTGCTTGTTGTTTGAAGTGTATTTCTTCTGAGCATAAAGATTTTTTTTTATGACTAACTTTGGTGGTTTTTGTACAAGTGATTCTCAAGCTCCTAGCTAGCCTCCTTACTTTGATGGCAGAAACTATGGCTACTGAAAATAAAGAATGCAAGCTTATGTTGAAGCAACTGATCTCATTATGTGCGATGTGATTGAAAATGTACTGGCAATACCGGCTCAAGCTCCTGCACGACAGTAAGAAGGAGAAAAAGCTCAAGCTGCTGAAGTTGCAGCTATTGCTGCTTGTGTAGAGGAGCTCGGAGAAGAGCTACTCAAAATGCTAAACCTAACTACCTCTTATATTGTGTTTTATCTCCATCTAAGTTTAACAGAATTTCTTCCTGTGTAACATCTAAAGAAATTTGGGATTGACTCCTAGTTACATTCGAAGGAACTTTTTTTTTTTTTTTGGTGTGAATGTAAGTATTATAAACCAGATGAAGTACAGCAGCTTAGGGGCATCCCCCAGCAATACAAAAAAGAGCTAATAATTCAAAAAGATGGAGGTAGGAAGTCTCCATATAGTAGCTAATACAACATTTGTCTGGGAAGGTCTAATTTTTTGGTAGAGCGAAGCTCTACCTCTGACATTTTTACGAACCTTAGCCAAAATAATATGAAAGTCAGTTGACTTGTTTTGAAACCGTCTGCTGTTGCGCTCCATCCAAATGCAATATATGGTTGCTAGAAAGGACAACTTGAGGAGTCTTGCTGCCAAGTCTTTGCCTTTTGTTGCCCTAATCATCCATTGGAGTTCTTCATTCCATCCTCCTAAAAGGCGCCTGATCCCATGTTGTGCTAGGATACAACGCCATATGTTGTTTGTCCATTCACACTCGAAGAATAAATGTGTTCTGTCTTCAATACCAGCCCTACAAAAATTACACTGAATATCAACTAAAGGTATCCATTGTGCGACGATTCTTGCTGTAGGTAGTCTATCTCTGCAAACTAGCCAACCAATAAAATTGTGTTTGCTAATGCCGCTGGTCCAAATTAGGTTATACCACTCCACAGCTGGTCTCACATGTCTGAGTTCATCATATATATCTTGGCAACAGTATTTTGGGCTCGGTATAATCGATGTTAGAACGGGTCGTAGTTTGAGGAGACATCTCCAGCTCCAAGCCATACTGCCCTTGATGTCGAGCTGCATAATTGGGGTGCCTCTGCATTTGGTGTTGTGGACCCAAGTACTCCAAAGGGAGGAGGATGGAAGATTGATAAGATTCCACAGCATGCGACCTAGCAATACTTTGTTCCATAAGTTCAAATTAGGCAATCCTAATCCTCCTTCCCTTTTAGGTGAGCATACTACTTGCCATACTACTTACATTCGAAGGAACTTATAGAGTGAAGAAGACAAAAATGAACATTCTTTTAGGAAATTATGAGCTATTCAAAATGAAATCTGATGAAACAGTAGCATAGATGTTCACAAGATTCATTGAAATAGTTAATGGCCTAGCAAATCGAGGTAAGATCTTCACAGATGGAGAAAAAATGAAAAAATTTCTAAGAGCACTTCCAAAAAGAATGGAGCAATGTGAAAACTTTGGTATGCAAAACCATGAGAATTCAACCCATCACTCCAAAGGTAATAAAGTTATAGCATTTAAAGCTACCAATGACAATGCAGGTGAAGAAACATCATCAGAAGCTGGCGATGATGAAGATATGACGATATTCACCACAAAGTTCAAGAACTTCATGAGAAAAGGAGAAAACTACAAAGGAAGAAGACGCCCCAAATTTTTAGAAGAAAAGAAGCCATCCAAAAACAAAGAGGAAGGGAAAGGTAAAGATTTTGGTTGTTATGAATGCAAGAAACAATGATACATAAAGCCAAATTGTCCATTTGTCAAGAAAATGAAAGGCAAGTTCGAGAAGAAGAATTGTTCACTAAAAGCTGAAACGTGGAGTAACACCGAGTACGAATCCAGTGATGATGAAGCACATTTCTACCTCATTGAGACTTCCGAAAGCGAAGAAGAAAATGAGGTAAATGCTTATGAACTATCATTTGAAGAGATGCAGGATTTTCTAAAATGAATGTTTGAGGAACATAAAAAGGCTTCCAAAAGAATTTCAGAAATGAAAAAGGAGTTTATGAAACTCACTAGTCAAAACAACCACCAGGTTTGGAAGACCCAAACAAGATCAACAATGTATATCGGCTCAAGAACGCATTCAATGGATTCAAACAAACACCAAGAGCTTGATGTGAGAGACTAAGCACATCTTTGGTCGAGCATGATTTCGAAAGAGGTATGGTCAATACAAAGTTTTTCATCAAAAGAAAGGTAATGATATCCTACTAATTCAAATTTATGTGGTTGATATTATCTTTGGATCTACAATTTAAGGAACTATATAAGGAATTTGCTGATATTATGAAAAGTGAGTCCGAAATGAGCATGATAGGGGAACTCAACTTCACTTGCAAGAGGTGGCACCTTTATATATCAAGAGAAATATGCGAGATAATTGGTAAAGAAATTTGGACTGGAAAATTGCAAAAAAGTGAATACACCATTGTCCTCTACTACCAAGCTTGATAAGGATGAAAAAGGTAAGTCCTAAGGACCTAAGTTTATCTAGGTACGAAAGAAAAGATGAAATGCTTCTTTCCTGTAGGTTATAAAGAGGAAGAATAAGTGGTATCTTGACGGCGGCTGCTCGCAACAAATGATTGCTAATCCTACCAAGTTCTTAAGTCTTGCCCGAGTCGATCGTGGAATTGTCACCTTCAGAAGAAAGGATAAAGGTAGAATTATTGGTAGAGGCACATCAAGTTGGGAGACCTAATTATCGAGGACGTGTCTCTTATCAAGGAAGTCAAAAATAACTTGATTAGCATCGGCCAATTGTGTGACAAAGGCTTCATAACCAGCTTCGAGGAAGGTAAATGTATTGATCTTGATCATTTATAGAAAAAAGATAAGATAATATTTATTTGCTTGATCTTGATTCAAATTTTGTTAAAATGTCTTGTATCTATAAAAGATGAAAAAGAGTTATGGAATAGAAAGCTTGGTCATATTAACATGAAACAGATTTCTAAGCTCTCTGCTTTGGACCTAGTGCGTAGATTGCCTAAAATCAAATTAAAAATATGAATTGCGCAATGCATGTACTTTCGGTAAGCAATTAAATAGCTCCCTCAAGTTTATAAATGCTGTTACTACTAACCTGATCTTGCAGCTATTACACATAGAACTGCTTGGACCAACAGGGAACTAGCTTTGATGGTAAAATGTACTATTTGGCGATCTTGGATGATATTCAAGGAATACTTATGTGATGTTCTTAGCTCACCATCATGAAACACTTCATTCCTTCGTGAAATTTGCAAGAAAAGTTCGAAAAGGTTATAGCATTTTGCCTATAAAAACTTA